TGTCCATGCTACTTATTCATTTTCATAAATACAATATTAATTAATCACCTTTGTTATGCTTTTGTTAAGTTTTGTTCCCATATCAATCTATTTCTCTCTATATATCTGTCTATCTCTCTTTCTCTCTCTCTGAGGAGATGTGGGGAAAGGACATTCATAATTACTGAGCTTTAATTGGAGAAGCACCACAGAGACAGGGGTCCAATAAACCCAGAGCACAAGGCTGCAGTGAATTATTTATAACTTGTCAGTAAAACAATAGCGTGTGTGTGTGTGTGTGTGTGTGTGTGTGTGTGTGTGTGTGTGTGTGTGTGTGTGTGTGTGTGTGTGTGTGTGTGTGTGTGTGCGTGTGCGTGTGGGTCAATCAACTGACATTAAGTCAACCCTCAGTGTACAGTACAGTATGCCATGAAATGTAATCACTTTATAGTCAGGGAGAATGTATAAATGTAGCACATATACAGTACAATATGAGATTTTCATCTCAGTCTTGTAAATTGTGGTCATCAAAAAATCTAAAAGGACAGACCACATTTAGTTATGAATCAACATTTATTAGTTATCATAATCATATGTACACCAAAGGTACAACACTTATTGATATGAACATACTTTTATACCACAGAGCTGGTAAAGAAAATAATTCATATATGTTTTGCCTTTATTTTTTAATATTCTATCTCCCCCCAACATAATCTCTCCCTCACATCAATATTACAACAACAGCTTTTCAAAGAGATAGGTTATCAGGATACTAAGGATGATCCTATCAGAAAGACAGAGACTTCTGTAGAATACAGACTTATAGATAAAAAGATCTACTGGCTACCCTTAGAAATACTGTGCCAATCAATTTCCATTTTAACATCCTCTTTACTCAATATATTGGATTTGTTTGTGTGCGTGCAGACAACTGTGATGAAAATTAGGAAAAGCAAAAGGGCAGATTGACCAATATGTGTCTGGAGGGTTTATTGAAATGGTGCTGATGGTTTGAAAGTGCTGGTTCGACAGAGACTAACAGTCTAACTGTGAGGCAGAATCTAAACATGAACTATGACTGTTTGCTGTAGATATCCATGTCTTGTAATTACCACAGCATGGTGCGTACAGCAAAAGACAAGATGGTGGACACTAACGGTGAGTTTGGTGTTCTCTGGTAGAAAGTCTAGAATTAAATCTTGATCAGGATCTGTGCGATCACCTGAGGAGATATATTTTGGCAGGTACTACACCAGACATTCTGATCAGATTTGCTATTTCAGTCATAATGAACTAAACTAACAGCTTGGCTGTGCTTGTTTCATTAGTTAATAGTACATACAGGGTAAATTTGACCTTTTTCTCCCCTTCTGCAAACCTAGTTATGATAACATCCACATCTCACCAACTTAGAAAGAGCACACCACCCCATATGGACTCCCTTCTTTAATCAGACACTTTCCTTCCTCTTTCTCTTTGTCTTTGCAGTTCAACATGTTTGCTTCAAAATCATTGTAATCTCTGGAACATTCTGCAGTGCCATTGAACAGAGTAATTATATATATATATTTATGTACAATGAAAAGGAATGCACACGACATATCTCCATGGAACAAACATTCAAAACGCTTACATTAGATACAAAACAAGATATTTATATATTGAAGTGAGACAACTAGTTAACAGCTATTAAAAAATAAAAAATAAAACAATTTCTTACACATTCTTTTCTATACATTTCTTCTAATCTATTTTTATTCAGAACATGATTATATTTTTCTAGAGGATTACAAAAAATGTCACAGTAATTCATCTCTATTTCTACATACCATGTCAATGCCCCCCCGAAATAAAACAGAAAAAAAAAATTATCTGTTACCTACAATATATACACAAAGTGCAAGGAGGCACTTCAATATCATGCTTTTAAGATAGTGGTGTAAAAAAATTATACTCATTTTTTACTTCATGCAAACAGTGAGTTTGAACATAATAGTGGTCCAACACTCAATCCCCATTGGTGACACTGGTCTGCATCCTCTCCTTACTGGAGGACTTATCCCTGAAGGTCACAAGGTCAAAGGTCAGGCCCTAGGGCCATCAGGGGTTTCAATGCTGTGCTCTTCAGCTCACTCATTGCATGTAAGAATGTGTGTGGTGACCTTCCAGGTTTAAGTGTGTGTGTGTGTGTGTGTGTGTGTGTGCGTGTGTGTGTGTGTGTGTGTGTGTGTGTGTGTGTGTGTGTGTGTGTGTGTGTGTGTGTGTGTGTGTGTGTGTGTGTGTGTGTGTGTGTGTGTGTGTGTGTGTGTGTGTGTGCGTGTGTGTGTGTGTGTGTGTGTGTGTGTGTGTATTTGGGGCTGTGTGTCTGTGTGTGATGGCAGTGACCATGCATTTCTTACAGCAGAACACCACTGTGTGCTGTGGCATAGAGAAGCACACTTTGTTATACAAGCTCAAAAGCAACGTTGCTTGATCTGCTGACGGAGAAAGTGTTTCAGGTAACTAAAGGACTGTGTGCTGTGCTATGAATGTGAGTGTTAATTTTTCTAGTGTTACTTTAATCAGCATTGTCATGACGTTCAAACTGACTGCACAGTTTTGAGTTAACATCTTCAAGGTAAGGTTGTCATTGAGCAAAATGATCAAAACAAGACAAGAGAGCAGGACATGACACAGATAAAGAAATTACATCAACACCTGCAGAATGCCTCACCTGCACAAAACATCTCTCATACAATCACATACGCGCATTAAATATTAGCAGCTGGTGATCTAACTTTGTGTGTGTTTCTCTTTTTAGACATGTAGGTTCCATTAGGGGGATGTAATTCTCCTACCTGATAGTTGGCAAGTTTGCAGTGGCCATTTTCAGGCACCCATATGACTGCTCTACAGTAGTAACCATATGAGACCGATGATAAACACAGCTGCAGCATTCAGGGTTTCTGAGAACAGTCGTCAGCGTCTGTGGTAAGAGGTTAGAGTTGTTTAATCACTAAGGAGACCCCACTAAGCGGCATAGTTTGGATGTAATACCGCCACCTTGCCACTAGTTGTGCAGTTAGTTATCAACCTGTTGAAACTTGCACATTTATTTAAGTTCTGTGGTTGTTCTGTACCATCTTTGATAAGATATGTGTTTTTGTGCTTTCAGGCGAAAAGGGAACCCAAGAAAATTGGAGTCACTGGAATGTTAAAGATCGAAAATTTGGCAAGTTTTTGTGTGCTGTTCCTAACAAGAATCCCTTAATAAAAGTAGCTTACTTATGAATAGTTGTAAAGGGAAACTTTATCTCTGTCATACAAGTGCAAGATATACAAAAAATGTATTAAAAAAAATATCAAGGTGGTCAACAGTCGACGTGTTCAAAGTCAAGCACTCATATTCAACTTGTGCTATATAAAGGCAATTGTCAATGGCCTATATTCTTTCAAGAGCAGCTAAACGTGTTGAGGACTTTGTGAAAGTGTCTCTTTCAATGCCAAGGAGTTCATGCTAAAGCCTGAGTATAGTTTCCCTTATTGGGTTCTTCAAATGATGCATGTTGAATGTTAAAAGAGACCAGTGTCAAAAAGGGATAATAAATCATACAAAACGAGTTTATCCTCAAAGCTGCAATTGTGCTATATGGACTCAGTATTCAATTTGTATTCCGTTTTGTATTTCATTTTAAAACAACTTAATTTGTGCTTTATATTTTCATACAAATCCTGGTATGAACTCTTGGTTCTCATTTTTGTTGGCCTCACATAATTAAATTGAGTATCTGAGAGGGGTATAATAAATACCTTCTAGTACTTAGAACTAATTAATATGAAAAACGGCCCTGAACTGAAGCTATTGATATATTTGTATTTGGGGACAAATTTCACCTTTACTTTAGATTTTCAGGTGTTGCAGTAATTGCGGGGCAGGGAACTTTATTCATTTCTTAGTAGCTAATTTGGAAGAGTTGAAATGAGTGATGAGACACTTTCTACCTAGAGTTAGCTACAAATGGATTGTGTGCAGAGTAAGAACCCCCAAAAGATGATATCAATGACTGTCAATGAAGTCATGGAGGTGTTTCAAAGGCTTCTGGCTTGATTGATTATATGCCTGTTTGGTCCTTATTAGTAATGGGGAGAAATGTCATGTCCTCACTCCCAACCCATACACACACATACACCCACACACACACGCACACACACAAATTTACATTTACATTTAAGTCATTTAGCAGACGCTCTTATCCAGAGCGACTTACAGGAGCAATTAGGGTTAAGTGCCTTGCTCAAGGGCACATCGACAGATTTTTCACTTAGTCGGCTCGGGGATTAGAACCAGCGACCTTTCGGTTACTGGCACAACGCTCTTAAACACTAAGCTCACACAGATACAGCATATAATCTCACACTAGAGGCGACATTGAAAAAGTCCCTCTCCCTTACAGTAGTCAACAAAATGTATAACAATAAAAAAGGGAGGAGAGGTTCCATGTTTCTTATGTATTTTGTGCTTTTGAATTCCAGAGAACATGTGCGTGTGGAGTAAGGCTCAGGCTGCGGACCCTGCCTTATCTCTGCATTCTACAGTATCACCACCGTGGTTCCCCCATGGGATTGTGGGTAATAGCAGGTAACAAAGACACTCAGATAGGTCACAGGGGCTCTGTCAGGTATAAGTCAAAGGTTATCTTGTGAGGTAAAAGGGGCCAGCGGTCAAATAACAGCTGTCTACTGTGGTATCATTGGTAATGGTAATGTCACGCTTGTAAAAATGTAATGTGAAGTTTGATACAGGCATTCCTTATGTCTAGTATAAGGGGAGTCTTATGTGTGGGACTCACACCGTCTGTTGTTAGACTGCCTGATTGCCAGTGTCAAACTACCATCACACTCTGAAGGACTGTTTTTCCAGTGTTACTCCCCCAAACACTGCCCCCCCCCCCCCAACCCCCCCCCCTGAATGCAGTGCTCTCATAGAAACAATTCGAGGAATAATTTAAGTAACAGTTTGTTTTTCTCTTCCCACCCTCCCTCCCAAGCCTGATGTCCGTTGTTCAAGTGTTTGCTATGATGCACATATTAGTGTTCTAACAGGTAAAACATACCTCTGTTATCGTCTCACTGATAAGTTAACTAGTATTATTCATCTCAGTCAGTCAGATAGATGGTTAGAAACACTGTAAAAGGACTAATATAAATGCAAAATAAAACTACATAAGAAAAACAATTAGTAGTTCTGTTCGCATGACTCTTTTTTTTCATTCACTCATTTTTTCACCAGATAGGAAAGCCTGTGGAGCTGGGGGTCTGTGCGCCAGGCTTTATTCACTTTTCCGGGGTTCCTCCTCAACAAGTGTGCACTCCGCCATGGCCGCCGCAGCAGTAGAGCCGTTAGTGGCCGAGGTTACCTGAAAGCAATCACCATGGAGATCTAAACAGCAGGTTCACACATCTACGTAAACAGGCAGAGTGCATGCTTCATGATCTGGACTTAATGCTTTGGAGCACAGACACCAGAAGAACTGTAAAACTACTCTGATCTTTTGGTTTGCATTTGGTTGCACATGCAGTATATACTTAAAGCCTTTTACTTTAAAATCGTATATCATTTGCAATGGTTTTAAGTGTAAAAAAATATATATTTTTAAATAAATAAACTATCATAATGAAAAGTAGGTTCTGTACTCCAATTATATGATTGATCATAACATAGAAGACAGGTGTATTCTGAAGGTATCAGGAAGCCCTGGACAACCACTGAGGATCATGCTGATGGAAGCACGGGGTCTGTCTTAACAACGAGCACCAGCCCTTTCTACTGACCTGAGAACAATCAACATATAATCACAATTTTAGCATGCAGTGACATATATAACATTTCATAAATACAACAAAAAAAAGATACAAAGAAAACAAGGTACAAAATACAACAACATGAGTGCAATGTTATGTTTTAGTCTGTACACATTATTTTGCAAGGCGTTCTACAATGGTTTGCATCTTTGGATAAATGTTAGAAAAGTTATTTGAGGTAATTTATGTACAGCCAAGACATACAAGAAAATAAAGAGAGAAAACATTGGAGGAAAACAGCCTTTGTGCCATGCTTCGCTAGTTTAATGGATGGATACAAAAATGTCCGGATATATTGTCTTGGTCTGACCATTGGAGTGCAAGGGCCTCAGTGTTGCTAAGCAACACGCTTGATCCTGTAATAAATGAATGGGTTCATCAGTAGGCCCTTTGATAGTGGGGCCTGCTGCTCTAGAAAACAAGCAGCCCAAATTCCTCCACATTATAATAGCAGCCAACAACGCTTTTCCTTGATCTATTCAAACAGTGTATTCAAAGTTTTACTGTTTCAGATTCTGCATGAGCTACTTTGCATCTTCCAATTTCGCAAGACAGATTTCTCACAATGAGCAAGAATAGCTAGTGTGTAAATGCAAAAGCATCTCATCTCTAAAGACTGAGAATCACTCCATCCCTGTCTGGAGGGTGCCAGGGCTCAGTCAATATATGCAGTGTTAATGAAGGACTATATTGCAATTCTCTGAATATTTATATCCCAACATAAATTACATTCTCTTTAAAATGACACATTTAGACAGAAGACTTTAAGTCATTTTAAGGGATATAACAGAGTACGAAGAGAATACACAGCAACAGCGTCTTTCTCATAAACCTCACAAAAGCTCATTTGATCACAAATTGATAAATGAAACCCCGAAAGCAGCAGGAGTAATCCAGCACAGCCTCTGAAGCAGCCCGGGGAAAGACCTTAAGCCCCATAATTTGACAAGGGATTTGGGGCCAGAGATGTGGTGGTGAAACCTGCATATGTAGTGAAGGGGGGTGGAGGTTTGCTGGGGCTCATCACGTAATTCCCTGAGGTCCTAGCTTATATGGCTTTTCCTCTCTCTCAGAACCAACCCCAGCAGGTTGAAAGGGAAGGAATGAGGCTGGGAGGAGAGTGGGGGAGTTGGTGGTGTTGGTTGGGTGGGGGGGCATTAGGGCAGAGCCAAGTTAGCACTGCTTTTCATTGACATTATGAAAAAGCATTTAAGTTTGTTTTGTTTTGGTTAGCCCACTGATTTGGATTTGCACTTGTACTTGTGAGTGACGCTGTCTCACTTTGTGGGTTGCATTTTTTCTGGCTTGCAATTTTTTTGGTATTTACATGAACAGAAATACCTTCTGCAAGTTTGGAATGTATTCTTAGTCATAAAAATGTCACAAAAGCTGCTACTTCAAGTGAATGCACACTGAAATATATACACATTAATTTTTTGGGTCTTTTTCAGACTTTCTTCTTAAAATAACACTGTATGTATTTACAGTGGCATCATATACAAACAGGAAAAATGAAAGAGAGAAAAGAAAAGGTGCAGCATGTTAGGCGTCTATATACAAGTCTCTATGTGCGTAAGCGTGAATTGTACCTTGCACTCATCTACTACGACTGAATTGTGAGCGGCATACTGGACGCACTGGTTGGAGTTGTTTTCGTGGTGGTTCTTGAGGTCATCATAGTAGGATGAGGTCTTGTTCATCATCTCGATGTCGTCCGACTTGCCATGTGTAGCGTCCAGCTCATCCAGCTCAGCCTTGGACAGGTGGTACACGATACCCGCGCCGTACGAGTCTCCCACCACATTCACAGAGGTACGGAACCGGTCCCTGGGATAGGAAAAAGGAAAGGTTGGTAATACACCAGTTTTGTGTGGAGATAAAAAAATAAACATGTTTGGATAGGGGTAGAACAAATGTAATTAGCAATCATTGAAAGCATGGTGTACATACACTGACTGTACGAAACATTAAGGACACCTTCCTAATATTGAGTTGCAACCTCTGGATTCACCTGGTCAGTCTATGTCATGGAAAGAGCAGATGTCCTTAATGTTTTGTATGCAGTACTCAGTGTATACAATAAGCTCATTTTACTTTGAATGCATATGACAACATGCACTTGGGTCTGAGTCACTAGCAATGCAGATCAACTCACAGGAGCCAGTCAACAGCAACCAGCAGACTGATGTCCTGAGTTGGCAGGCCGACTGCAGTGAGGATCAGAAGCATAGTCACCAGTCCAGCACTGGGAATACTGGCCGCACCAACACTGGCCAGGGTAGCAGTCAGACTGCATGGGGAGAAAGATAGAGAGGAGCGAAAAAACGTAATGGTTAAAATTGCTCTACAGATGAAGTTTGAAAGTCCAAAGGCCAAGGACTGTTTCTATCAACCGAAGAGCAAATGGGTACAGCTACTTCATGAAACATGTTCAGAGTGAGTTGGTGTGACTGTAATAATAATATAGTGATTTAGGATATTGGGACTGGCATCACAGGTTGTGTGCTCAGTTCCTGCATGATCCATAAACACATAACTATGTATGTCTTTGAATAATAGTGTCCCCTAAATGTAATGTAATTTTACGTCATTACTTACACAACCGGTCAAAAAATTTTGAACACCTACTCATTCAAGGGTTTTTCTTTATTTTTATTATTTTCTACATTGTAGAATAATAGTGAAAACATCAAAACTATGAAATAACACATATGGAATCATGTAGTAACCAAAAAAGTGTTAAACAAATCAAAATATATTTTATATTTGAGATTCTTCAAATGGCCACCCTTTGCCTTGATGACAGCTTTGCACACTATTGGCATTATCTCAACCAGCTTCATGAGGTAGTCACCTGGAATGCATTTCAATTAACAGGTGTGCCTTCTTATAAGTTCATTTGTGGAATTTCTTTCCTTCTTAATGTGTTTGAGCCAATCAGTTGTGTTGTGACAGGTGGGGGTATACAGAAGGTAGCCCTATTTGGTAAAAATCCATATTATGGCAAGAACAGCTCAAATAAGCAAAGATAAACGACAATCCATCATTAATTTAAGACATAAAAGTCAGTAAATACGGAAAATGTCAAGAACTTTGAAAGTTTCTTCAAGTGCAGTCACAAAAACCATCAAGCGCTATGATGAAACTGGCTCTCATGAGGACCGCCACAGAAATGGAAGACCCAGGGATACCTCTGCTGCAGAGGATAAGTTCATTAGAGTTACCAGTCTCAGAAATTGCAGCCCAAATAAATGCTTCACAGAGTTCAAGTAACAGACACATCTCAACATCAACTGTTTAGAGGAGACTGTGTGAATCAGGCCTTCATGGTTGAATTGCTGCATAGAAACCACTACTAAAGGACACCATTAGAAGAAGAGTCTTGCTTGGGCCAAGAAACACGAGCATTGGACATTAGACCGCTGGAAATTTGTCCTTTGGTCTGGAGTCCAAATTTGAGATTTTTGCCTCCAACTGCCGTGTCTTTGTGAGACGCGGTGTGGGTGAACGGATGATCTCCGCATGTGTATTTCCCACCGTAAAGCATGGAGGAGGTGTTATGGTGTGGGGGTGCTTTGCTGGTGACACTGTCAGTGATTTATTTAGAATTCAAGGCACACATAACCAGCATGGCTACCACAGCATTCTGCAGCGATACGCCATCCCATCTGGTTTGGGCTTAGTGGGACTATCATTTGTTTTTCAACCGGACAATGACCCAACACACCTCCAGGCTGTGTAAGGGATATTTTACCAAGAAGGAGAGTGAAGGAGTGCTGCATCACATGACCTGGCCTCCACAATCCCCCGACCTCAACCAAATTGAGATGGTTTGGGATGAGTCGGACTACATAGTGAAGGAAAAGCAGCCAACAAGTGCTCAGCATATGTGGGAACTCCTTCAAGACTGTTGGAAAAGCATTCCAGGTGAAGCTGGTTGAGAGAATGCTAAGCTGGTTGAGAGAATGCCAAGAGTGTGCAAAGATGTCATCAAGGCAAAGGGTGGCTATTTGAAGAATCTGAAATATAAAATATATTTTGATTTGTTTAACACTTTTTTGGTTACTGCATGATTCCATATGTGTTATTTCATAATTTTGATGTCTACACTATTATTCTACAATGTAGAAAACAGTAAAAATAAAGAGTAGGTGTGTCCAAACTTTTGACCGGTAGTGTACATTAAGAAGGTAGGCAGTGAAATTCCCACCCTGATCAGAAAGTATGTCCTATAGCAGTCCCTACCTGACAGTGACGATCTGACCAGCATCCAGGTAGATGTTGTTCATCTGGGCGATAAAGATGGCTGCCACGGCCTCGTAAAGGGCAGTTCCATCCATGTTGATGGTGGCGCCGACGGGGAGCACAAAACGGGTGACTCTCTTATCAATGCCCAAGTTTTCTTCCAGGCAACGGAAGGTGACAGGCAGTGTACCAGCACTGACAGAGACAAACACAGGTACAGTATGAGAGAGTAAGGATGTTGCATACAGTATTCCACAACGTTCAGCACAGATATGAAAGATTTGACAGATTTAATGCTTTTTCTATAAAAAGTGATCTGTCAATTTACAGTGAAAACAGTTAGATAGTGTAAATAGTGAGATGCATCCATGGTTGTGGCTCTTGCCTGGAGGCTGTCCCCAAGGCAGTGATCCAGGCCTGGAAGATGCCCATGAAGAAGGTGTAGGGGTTTTTCCTGACAATGGCAAAGTAGATGGCAGGCAGGAAGATGGCCCCGTGGATGATCAAGCCCACGATCACAGTCACCATGTACATCCCCAGCTGCCTAGCAACCACCTCCAGGTCATCGATGGAGATGATCTTACCACAGATCAGGCAGCAGATACCGAAGGGAGAGTACCTAGGTGCACAGGAGAGGTTTAACAATGTATACACTGAAGAAAAAGAGGTATCCATCTCAATCAATGTCTACAATATGTGCCAGATTATCAAATGTAGATGTACAAATACTCATCATTTTTCTATGACTAGCATAAGTCCATGTAGAATGAGCTTGAAAGGCTAAAGATCTCTTACCACATGATCATGATGACCAGGTTCATAACAATCTCGTTGAGGATGTTGAAGAACTCCAGCATGAGCTTGGCCCTCTCTCCCATCTTCCCCATGCAGATGCCGAAGGCAATGAAGAAGCCAATCACTCCTGCATCACACAATCAGGAGAGAAAATCACAGTTGGGAATGAGTAGAGTAAATGGGCTCACAGAAAGATATGATGATGACTAAAAATATGATACAGTTAGTGAGGCAGAATGAGCTGTGCCCAGGGCTCTGTTGAGGTGTGATATGATGTGATGCACTGGTTTATTCTCAGACAAAGAAGTAAAGACAATTTAAAAGTGATATATGCACAGTTTCTTTCAGATGGGCGGTTGTACAAACAATTGCGACCTGGTCCAAAAGAGAAGCCGCCATACCTAACACGTTCATGCCACTCTTGAACTGGAGGGACTTCTTGATGATGAACTCAGGTTCCTTGGTGGCGTTGGACAGGAGGCCCTCCAAGGTGGTGGTGGCATTGACATCTTCCTCAATCACCTTCTCCACCTTCTTAGTGACCGTTTGGATCTGAGGTGGGAAAAGAGAACACAGACAAGTCCTTAATATCTTACATCTCAATCCATCTTAACTTTTGGTAACAAGGGTTAAGGACGCAAAGATAAAATCAACACAATCATTTGTATTCTTCATAAAACTGATTTGTTCTGGGGGTGCCTCATCCAGGCAATACTTGGAAGTCTCATCCAGGCCATTATTGTAAAAAAAACACACAAAAAAACATTTGTTCTTAATTGACTCGCCTGGTTAAATATATCTGTGTGTTGTAGTGTACTGTACCTGCTGGAAGCAGGCCTGCACCAGGTTCTCAGGGAACAGGTTCCTGATGAGGTCAAAGAAGGCATCCAGGCTGGACACATCATCGTGCTTTTGGCCATCTCCCAGCTGCTCCTTCATCTTGGGGTCTCCAGGGTGGATGACCAGCACCAGGATGACTCCCAGCACTGCAGCAATCACCGTGGTGGACATGTAGTAGACCATTGCCCTGGTGCCCAGGCGACCGCTAGACTTGGCATCTAGACCAGCCAGACCTGCAGCCAAAACAAGCATTTGCAGTTTTCCTCTATTGTATCAAATATGTGTTGATATAGCAGTGTGGAATAAGTGTACTAAGTTACTTTTTAAGTGCTAATAGTGAAAGATGATGATTGATACTGTGGCAATTAATAAATAATAAACAGAATAAACTGTATAAAAAATATATATATGTTTTATATCGGCATTAAAAAGGTATATCGGTCTATAGTTACTGTATAAATTAGGAGAAACAGCAGTCCTCTCTCTTCTGTTGAACCCATGACTCTACCATACTGTACCTGTGATTAAACTGGAGATGATGAGAGGCAGGATCAACATCTTCAGCATCCTCATCAGGATGTCTCCAGGGAAGGCAATCACCATGACGATGTCCGGGTGGATGGGAGAGGCATAACGAAGCAGCATCCCAGACACAGCCCCCAGAATCACACCTGGAGAATGAGAAGGGTGAATGGGGGGTCAGTTACTATGAAGAGGTGTGAAAGAATGCTGATATAGACGGAGTCCCCCATGTCTGAAGCCTGAGGAATGAGAGAAACACCATAAGAGGAGAGGGGAAACAATGCTAAAGAGAGACCAGAGACAGAGCAGTTCAGAGAGAGAGAGCAGTGGCGAGGAGGTCCTGTGCCACAGTGCAGGGAAGGCAAGACGTCCCTAACTCAGAGGCCAGCCAAGGACTTGAGAACAGGTGGGATTGGGAAGTGACCCTAGAGTGGTTGGTCTGGCTACCTTGTGAGAAAATCTGGGATAACATGGGGACTTTCTCCATTTAGAAAATGTTTTGTTATTCTGTGCAGAGAGAGTTTGGAAATAACTAGAATAATTTCAAAATGGGACTTGCTTATGATAAAAAGGGATCTATAAGGCGATTGACAGATCATAACAATATTTCATTTCCATAAGTTTGCCTTAAATCACTGCTTCTCGTTGCATATTAATTCAGCATTCTGGAACTGGTTATGAGAGGCTGTGGATTGCATGCCATGTACAGGGGCCAGTGGGTAGTGGTGGATAGGGGACATAAAACAGTCTCAGTGTGAAAGAGGTTGATAGAGTCTGATAGAGGATTAAGAGAAGATCTCTTTGAAGGGAGAGGAGGAGTCAATGCTTCAGACAAGGAGAGGTTCTTACAGTGCTTGGAGGAGCATCTGTATTCCCTCTGGAGAGGGCAGGTTCTCTAGGAAACAGTCAGTTAGCAGCAGGGTAGGATAATAACTCTCACTGTACTCCAGTATATGGAGGAGGCCTATAACCAAGGGGAATTCTGAGGAAAATAATGACACACTCCTCTGATCCTATGCTGGCCCTGACTTTATAACTATGTGCCCTAAACCCCACCTGACCTCCATTGCTTCCCATGGCTCAACCTTGATAAACATCCCTAACCCACTCTTCAATTCCCATCCTAAACAGAAAACTAGCCCCCGATCCCCCAACAACCCAACCTCTCCAGCCGTGTCCTTCCACCCCCAACCTCCTCCTCCCCCTATGCTCCAGAGAGAGAGCTGACCTCTGAGTGCTCCTGCCCCCTGCAGCCGTGTCTGCACACTGGCCCTGTGGTCAGTCTCTGTTCCTGTCCTTGGCTCTGTCTCTCTCTGTCCTGCTCAGGCCAGACAAGGCTAGGCCCAGACCCCAAAACCCCAAACTACCCCCCTAGTAGGCTGCACTTTCTCTGCTGCTAGATCCCTGCCAAAGATCACAGGCCCTGAGAGGCTGTTTCACAACACAGTCTGCAATACAAACACTTTAAGCTCACATATAGTTGTAAACTGTTTTAGATTCATGCACAGCTTCAGAAACGTAACCTCACCCCACTGATGCTGCACACCTGATGTTGCACACCTGCTGGATGAGGAGGGCACTAGATTTCCTGTGCATGGAGCATCAAACATCTCTAACCCTCTCTATAATTGCAAATGATCAATGCCACTTTGGGAGCCGCTATGGGGGTGTTCTGCGTAGTGGTCTGTGATGGACATATTACACAAGCTCACACACCCCAAGAACAGAAGGAGAGGGATGAGAGAGAGAGGAGAGGAGAGGGAGATGAGAGAGAAAGAGAGAGCAGAGAGAGGAGAGCGAGAGGATAGATAGACGCGAGAGCGTCTTCTCGTTCCGCTACGCTCGATAGACGCTCTCAGCGCCGACGATCTCTTCCTCTAGTCTTTCTAACACGGAGAGAGAGAGAGAGAGAGATTGTGATAGTGTGCTTGGTAAAACAGCTGATGATTGTACTGACCGAGCACAGTGAGTGTGAGCAGCAGGTTCTTGAAGAGAGAAGCGAAGCAGCTGATACACTTGTTCCTGGGCCTGGCCTCGATGGGCTCCAGGTGACTTTCGTGCATCCTCACCTCCACTTGCTTAGGCATGATGCTGGCGCTGTGTCAGAGAGAAAGAGGGAGACAGAGAGAGAAAGAGGGCAACAGAGAGAGAAAGTTATTTAAACATGCATAATCTGCGTTTGACAGGCCCCAGTATGATACAGCAGTCACATGTCTGGCGAAACTATGTACATTATATGATCATAACATGTGCAGTCCTCATATTTTGAGTGTGAGGAAGGAGACTGGATTAGATTGGGTCTTTACAGTAAAATAGATTAAGAATCCCCAAATCCAACTCAGCCTTTGTTTTGGACGTTCAGTGTTGAATAACCTACCTATCGATTGGTCATGTCATAAAATACAATGCTCTGTATACAAACATCATAGAAACAATGGCGGGTTTAGATCTTCACTCATCTTTAATAGTCTCTAAAGAGCTACGAAATAAACCCCTACTTTCAGAGTCAGAAGAAAATCTGAACATTAAGAACTTTCATCCTAAACACCAGCCAGTAAAATGCACACAAATACTCTATGACACAACCTTCTCACCAACTTGAGAACAATCTCTCCAGCGTGGTCCCCAGTGAGGTAATGGGAGGGGAACTTTAACATTGAACTGATTTCAGCTGAAATCTCCAGCAGCCCAGAGGACAACACAGATTCCCCCCTGAGCCTTCACTGAGAGAAGCAGAGGAAGAGAGGCAGATAGATGGAGGAAGGGGAAGAGGGGATGTAGAGAGGTGGAGGAGACAGTCTATAACAAGGCCTATTGGAGATGATGGGGAATGGTACAAGAGTAACATACAGACTAACGGACAGTTTGACCTTAGATGGACCATATATCTCTCTTCCTTTCTTTATCTCACATGTTCTTTCTCCACACTAGCCCCTTCTCCTCTCTCCTTCTACCTCTTTACCTCTCATTTTCTATATTTCTCCATTATAATACACTACCGGTCAAAGGTTTTAGAACACCTACTTATTCAAGGGGTATTCTTTATTTTTACTATTTTCTACATTGTAGAATAATAGTGAAGACATCAAAACTATGAAATAACACATATGGAATCATGTAGTATCCAAAAAAGTGTTAAACAAATTAAAATATATTTTATATTTGAGATTCTTCAAATAGCCTTGATGACAGCTTTGCACACTCTTGGCATTCTCTCAACCAGCTTCATGAGGTAGTCACCTGGAATGCATTTCAATTAACAGGTGTGCCTTCTTAAAAGTTAATTTGTAGAATGTATTTCCTTCTTAATGCATTTGAGCCAATCAGTTGTGTTCTGACAAGGTAGGGGGGGTATACAGAAGATAGCCCTATTTGGTAAAAGACCAAGTCCATATTATGGCAAGAACAGCTCAAATAAGCAAAGAGAAACGACAGTCCATCATTACTTTAAGACATGAAGGTCAGTCAATAAAGAACATTTCAAGAATTTAAAAAGTTTCTTTAAGTTCAGTTGCAAAAACCATCAAGCGCTATTATGAAACTGGCTCTCATGAGGACCGCCACAGGAATGGAAGACCCAGTTACCTCTGCTGAAGAGGATAAGTTCATTAGAGTTACCAGCCTCAGAAATTGCAGCCCAAATAAATGCTTCACAGAGTTCAAGTAACAGACACATCTCAACATCAACTGTTCAGAGAAGACTGTGTGAATCAGGCCTTCATGGTCGAATTGCTGCAAATAAACCACTGCTAAAGGACACCAATAAGAAGAAGAGTCTTGCTTGGGCCAAGAAACACAACCAATGGACATTAAACCGGTGGAAATTAGTCCTTTGGTCTGGAGTCCAAATTGGAGATTTATGGTTCCAACCGCTGTGTCTTTGCGATACGCAGTGTGGTTGAATGGATGATCTCTGCATGGGTATTTCCCACCGTAAAGCATGGAGGAGGAGGTGTTATGGTGTGGGGGTGCTTTGCTGGTGACACTGTCTGTGATTTCTTTAGAATTCAAGGCACACTTTCTGCACAGCATTCTGCAGCGATACGCTAACCTGTTACAGGGGGGTCGCAGATCCGGAGCGACCCACTAGGTGTCACCCTCCGACAACCTTAGGCACCTCCTCACTCACAGTCTGGACTAATCATGATCCTATTGGTGTCACCTGTGTCTACCTGTTCACCTGTGTATTTATGCCCTCACTTCCCTGCATTCTCTTGCTCAGTTTTCTCTGCTAGTTTCACTATGCCAAGCAGCACTAATCAGTGTCTGACCGCGGGACATATGGACAGATATGTGAGAAGGGTTCTCCCTGTTTATTTATTATTTCAGTCACAGTTAGTATTTCGTATTTTGGCTGTCAGCCTGTTTTTTGGAGTCTTATTTACTCCGCCTTTTTTTTTGTGTAAAGTCCGTTATTTTGTATCCTGGCTTCGGGACCATCAGTAAAGATCCTTGTTTCACCATCTCTGCCTACTGCCTACTGTCTATCCTGCACCGCACCTGGGTCACACCTCACACCAACCCTTTCACCATCCCATCTGGTTTGGGCTTAGCGGAACTATATATATTTTTTCAACAGGACAATGATCCAACACACCTCCAAATTGAGCTGATATGGACCCAGCAGAGGCAGCACAGTACCATAGCACATTGGCAACACAGGGAGCCATGCTGAACCAGCACGATCGCAGCCTGCAGCAGATCACAGAGATTCTCTGCCAGCTGACGATCGCCATGCAGAGCCGGGTGGACACCCGATCAGCCCCGGAAGCCGGCAGAGCGGAATCCGCGGCAGTGACGTCTCCTGTCTCGCCTGAGACATCGCAGGAACCCCGCCTACCACTTCCGGAGAGGTATGACGGACGTCCAGAGGGCTGCAGGGAATTTCTCACCCAGTGTTCCCTGATATTCAGCCTACAACCCTCCTCCTTCCCGACGGAGCAGGGCCGGGTGGCCTACATTATCACTCTGTTGACGGGTTGGGCCCTTTCCTGGGCTACCGCGGAGTGGGAGAGCCAAACACTGGCGTGCTCCGATTCCTACCTATTCACCCGGGAGCTACGCAAGGTGTTCGACACTACTCCGTGGAGTTCCGGACCCGGGCTCGAGAGGCAGGATGGGAGGAGGCCGCCCTGATCGTCCTTTACGCTCAGGGGCTGTCGGAGGGGATGAAGAACAAACTCTCCTTCAGGGAGCTGTCTGAGCAACTGGACGGCCTCGTCGACCTCTCGTTGCGGGTAGACAATCGGCGTCGTGAGAGGGTGCACGAGAGAGGCTTGATGCAAGGCGCGCATCCCCTGCCCCTATCAGCCCGGAGAAGCCGGGTAAATGGGACGGTTCGCTAGTATCGGGAGGGGTGCTAGCGAGCCGGAACTGAAACCCCAACTCCAGAGACTCCCAGACCAGGGTTCAGTGGGCCCATGCACTGGTGTATTCTGGGGCCGCGAGAAACATGATGGATGCTTGACTGAACCAAGGCTGGAGCATTCCGTTACTCTCCCTCTCCGAGCTGGTTCCGGACATGGGCCAGGACGGCCGGCCGTTGGGGTCGGGCTTCATCACCCGGCTCACTGTCCCCGTGCGTGTCCGGGTGGTGGGGGGGCTATGGGAAGATATCCAGCTTTTCATTGTGGAATCTCCGGAGTGTTCCCTCATCCTCGGGCACCCCTGGCTGTTTGCCCACAAACCCTGGATAGACCGGTCCACGGAGCGGCTCATCCTGGAGGGAGGCTCCGCCCCCGTCCCGTTCCGGTCTCCACCGACCACACATCAGCCCAAACCACTGTCCCAGACCACCTACCAGTCCTCACCTCTTCCCCAGGTCCCGCACTCCGAACTGCCTACTGCCCTAGCGGCGGTTGCCACCGGGAGGACGGCGGCTACACATTCCGTCACCGGTCCAGACCTGGCAGGCATTCCCCGGGAGTATTTGGATCTGGGGGAGGTGTTTTAGTAAGAGGCGTGCCAAGAGTCTACCTCCTCACAGGCCATATGACTGCGCTATTGATATCCTGCCGGGCGCCTTGCCCACACGAGGGTGATTGTTTTCCTTGTCCCGGGCCGGGACAATGACCCAACACACCTCCAGGCTGTGTAAGGGCTATTTTACCAAGAAGGAGAGGGATGGAGTGCTGCATTAGATGACCTGGCCTCCACAATCCCAAATTGAGATGGTTTGGGATGAGTCGGACCGCAGAGTGAAGGAAAAGCAGCCAACAAGTGCTCAGCATATGTGGGAACTCCTTCAAGACTGTTCCAGGTGAAGCTGGTTGAGAGAATGCCAAGAGTGTTTAAAGCTGTCATCAAGGCAAAGGGTGGCTATTTGAAGAATCTCTAATAAAAAATATATTTTGAATTGTTTAACACTTTTCTGGTTACTACATGATTCCATATGTGTTATTTCATAGTTTTGATGTCTTCACTATTACTCTATAGTAAATAGTAAAAAAAAAGAAAAACCCTTGAATGAGTAGGTGTTCAAAAACTTTTGACCCGTAGTGTATGTCCGGAGGTTCCACTCAGTATGGCTGGCCTACAGGAACTGAAATGGAACTGAAATGGGGCTTTTGACCGGTAATTACCTGTCTGTAATTTGTCTAATTCTCTGTAATAATGGTATGGGAATAATAATGCATTTTATTTTGTAAAGTGGTTTCTTGCATTAAACAACACAACATTTTCAGTTACCTCCTTGTCTGAAGGACAAGTGGATGAGCAGGTTAATGTCAAGCCCTGCATGTGTTTTTCAAGAGTCTCATGGAATATAGGCCTACATTGAACACAACACATTGGCTGCTACTGTAGGCTGAATGATAGAGCAGCTATTTCCATGGCAACATTTTATGGGATGCATTTTTTCTCCATTGTTTTTGATGGTAGGCCACTCTGGTGGGCCTACATTAGGACCAAAAAGCCACAGTAGCCTACTTGACCACTGTCTGAAACTGTAACTTAAAGCGGGTACAACCTCAGTGTTCACAGTTAACGTGCGCTGGAAGTTGCACAGAATTTTCACAACATTGAAGTTTGCACTCAGCAGACCTGAAATTTGCTCAGTGCCGGAATTTTTTTGAGGGAACATTGGGTGTCAAGTAGACTTTTAA